ATGTACTGATGTTGTTTCACAAAGCGTTAATTTTATAAACGTCGTGTAAATTAAAGGGAAAAGGGAGGAGTGGAAGCTGAACGAGCAGAAAGAGAACGATGGATCACAAGAGAACAACAAAAGATAATGGATAGCGTTAATGGTACGGCTTCATTTCTTTATGATAGTATGAACCCCACTCTCTAACAATGTCCGGTGACTCTTTTACTGGCTATGATACATTTTTATACCCTCTAGAATACAACAGCAGTCACTGCCAGACAGATAACCAGCACTGAGGGATCTAGAATCATGAATATTGGATGTCAAAAAATCAGATTTTTTCTGAATATGCAGGGGTTTTGAGCTTGGTACAACTGTACATAGTATAGGCCATGGCCAAATGTGAATAACGTTATGAAATTTCTTTGCTAACTTTTATAATCTCCGCCATTTACTTAGCCTCCTACGCGCTGACGTTCTTACGGCTTCATCACGCGTTTCGTCCTCACTGAACGTGGGAAAAAAGGCGTTACCAAGCCCTTAGAACGCCTACGTGGGAGGCTTAATACCATTTTATTTATCGTCAGGGGTAAAGCTCAATTGTGACTTGGTCACGTGCATTTTCCCGCGATTGACGTCACCTACATGTATTTGCATCGTGAACTGATTGGTTCATTTAAATATCACTTTGAATTCTGATTGGCCAAAAAAATACTTTGATTCTACGGCAGTCAGTTCAGGAAAGTAAGTTCGCGTCTTGTACTGCCATCGCAGAAGTAAGTGGAATATAGCCTGACTATATCCTTGTAGAAAGCCGTGCAAAAGAATGTTAGAGTCAAAAATTAATCCCAATCGCAGTTTGACGTGAGTGTGAAACAGACAGATGCTTATTTTTTTTGTTCCAATACGAACCTTCGTGTAGTTCTGTCCTTGTTAGCTTCCGAATTTTATTTGTTTTAGCTTCTAAATGTACAGTGATATAATTTATTTCATCCGTCTTTTCCTTTCTATATCCACAGCGTTGTCAAAAATAAGAGAAAGAGGAACGAAACAAGAAAATGTAAGCAGTTTGTATATTTTGCTGATTTAGGAACAGAACGGGAGCGTCAGTTGACGACGACGCGCGCAAATTAATCATATGGCTTGACCAATGGCAGAGCGGCCAATTGGGCGCCGGAAGTCGTGTTTAGTCCCTTCCGCGCGCTTTCCCGTCGCAAACTGACGTTCCCGTCCTACAACTACAAGGGCGGGATTTTAGTTAATAGACACCCCCGAAGAGATTCATCTACTATATTTTACCAGAAATGTTGGCACCGTCATTTTAGTGTCTTGAAGAAGGTAAAGCCTTCGGCTGGTCGCAAAATGATAAAACTCTAAAATTCGATGACTTGTTTCCTGTCACTACGGCATTTTTGCTACAGCCGTAAGCAGAATGACGACAGCTATCGCGTTTTCTCGCCAAAATTATGCTGGCTCTCGCTAGCAACCATTATTAAGAAATCTCGTTCTCGAAGTGGTCCTCGTTTTGGAATCTAAAAGTTTTCAATGCGTGGTCCTGCATAATTTCGGTAAGCATGGAGTGGAAAGAAGGAGAAACGTGTCAAGTTCCCTCTCCTTTCCTCTTTCCTTTCTTTTTCTTTTTCTTCCCCTTCTTCTTCTGCTTGTTTAAATTTCTCGCCTACTGCCCACCTTACCCCCTCACCCCGGTTCCCTGTTAACAGCCCAAACACCGACCTCCAACGGTATCATCACGCCTAAATCCAAGAACACCACATTTTAGCAGAATGTTACAGACGAAGAAAAAGAGGAGGAAACCTCAGATGTTAGTGAAGAGCTGAGTGAAGATAGTGAAGTTGAAGACAAAGAAGACAATGATCAAAGACCAGACAGCCGACAGGTGACTGGGGATAGTATGGCCAGTAGTTCATCAGAGGATATGGAGACTATTAGCGTTGCAGTCAAGTCACCAACTCACAGCCAGTTCTTAGCTCCTCAAGGAATCTTTAGTGCACCTCAGTCATCTCAAGGACAAAGGACAGCTGGTCCTTTGATAACAGAAATTATTACAGGAGGAGGTAATTATTAATTGCCATTTATTTTGAGATCAAACGGGTATTCTTTCTCTTATACCGCCCTCCAGCTTTAGATGGGTATTCCCCCCCCCCCCCCCCCCCCCCCCCCCCCCCCCCCCCGCCCCTCTGCACGCCGCACGCCGCTCAGCCATACGGCCTTTTGTCTCTATCTTTGTGCCGCCCTTTTCNCCCCCCCACCCCCAGCCTATCTAAGCGGCTGTTTATGTGGAAGGAGGAAGACCGTACAATTACTTTCCTTGATCTACTGTAATTTCGACCTCTATTAAGCTATTAAGCGGTCACCTCTATTAAGCGATCGCGGTTACCATTTGCGAAGTATCAAAGGGACTTTTTCTATTGTCTTGACCTGGATTAAATGGTCACACGGTGTCAATTACTTGTTCATACAGTTTCACATAGTAATGTAACGCACGAGGTACAACAATTGATTTCCTTGTTTATTATGTTTAAACTAAAATAGGAAATATATGGTGCTCGAATGATACGTCTTCTAGGATCTTCCTAGCGCTAGGATCGCCCTCGCTTCATGTAAACAGCCTCTGGATGGAATGTTTCCGAAACCTTTTTAATGACATATAAAGGAAACACTAATTTGGAAATTTTATCCTTAACGTTGTATGAAAATATGTTTAACGCTTGGCTTTCTATACGGTTTCTTTGTCAGATAAAGAAGAGAAGCAAAGTAAAGGCGAAGGGGTGTTGATTACCGAGCTGGATGGTATGTGGAGTCGTATGTAGCTAAACGACCCATGTGGTGTGAATTACGTATTTTCTCGCATAGATAGAAAAACAACTTGGAATGTTCCTCTTGTGCTAAATAGCGTCCACCACAGCTGACATGTCGCCAAACTGGATGTATAATACCCCCGAGTCGTGTAGAACGATTCAGTTGCAGCAGAGTTTCAAAACAAATTACGTTATTTCTTTGGCTTTGCATTGCTACGCTTTCTGAATGGTTGAAATATGTCAAACCACTTTTTCAACCAATCAGAAGTAAAACCACAGTAAATATTGACTCGCTTTCATTCGCTTTCCCGCGCTTGGCGTCGGCGGGCTAAACAAAGTGTATATGCTTCGACTTCTGATTCGTTAATTTGGACTTCTGCGCGTACTGCGATTGGCTAGAGTAATATTTAGTCGAGTTTGGTTTTAAGACACTCGCTTGAAAATCGACCCAGATGACTTCAGTATGAGTATATGTCCGAGGGTGTTCAGGTCTCTTTCAGGGCAAAGCTCTTTGCCGCCACGTTGCTCTTATGAAACCTCCTTTCCTGTTCCAGTTTACCTTTAGCTCCTCCATCAGTTACTTTCCGGGTGGTCATCTCGCGTCCTTCACCCAACTCGGGATCGCGCCTGCATTGAGCTACGCCGTCAGCTGTAAATGTGGTGGACTGATCATCTGGACAAAGGCCACCTATTTTCATGCTAGCAAAACTTTTCCATTTCCGTCTCACGTCTTCCGTCATCCTAAATGCTTTGTTTCGTCGGCGACCTGTTCTTTGTCGAAGCGGCTGTTAACGTTTTAATTTGACAATTTTTCCGAACTTGTTATTCTCGTCCCAGGGCCAGTCGTTTCCTTTGCTCGGGAAAATGGCCGAGTGGCTCTGGAGACGAGAATGGGAGTTGCCGGATACAAGATGATAGAATTCGTATTTACTTTTTTTTCTCTAATTTTTGTTGCCTTATTTTATTTTTTTTAGACGACGATATTGAAACAATAACACTGCGCGAGGTACCTACAGAACATACCTCGAAGGGATTTCTAGATCTACAAGAGGTTGGTAGACTTATTAGCTGGAGAATTTTTCTCTCATTCTTATTCTTTTCTCTCTTCCTTATCATGTACTTAACGCATTATATCTATCCGAGAATGAGAAAAGGAATTTGCTGGAGCATTGAAAGATTTGATGCAAAACCCGACAATTGAATTACAAGACAAGTCAGTCAGTCCATCCGTGTGTAATTTTGAGTCATTCACCAAGAGAACTTTAGTCAATCCCTGTTAATACGGAGACCAGGGGCCCGTTTTTCGAAAGGCCCGGTAACTTTGCGGGTCCGGAGGCATGAAATTTTTGAATTAAGACCTGTTGAATAGTAGCACAGTTCCTAGCTCGCAAACCGGCAAATTTTGCTTCGTTAATTGATAGTGACATTGTATCATTTTCAAAATTATTGAAACTTCGATTTTAAATGCAAACACGACAACCATAAAACATGTTTTCGGGCCGGAAAAGTTGTCGGGGCTTTCGAGAAACGCGCCCCAGGAGGCCATATATTAGCGGGGTGTTAGTATTAAGCGGGTTGAATTTAGAGAAAATGTGAGGGCTTTCTTTCCCCAGGGATGAAGCAAACTTAACATAGTAACGAGGTGTCCGTATTAAGCGGGTGACTGTCCGCAAAAGTGGGGTTTGACTGTAATCCGTAACTAATCCCTTTTGAAACTGAAACCACTAAAACCCGCAGCCTCGTTCCCAGTCGTCCTTGGCGACTTCTTATGTGACGTCACCTGTAGGTTCCAAGCCTCCTTTGGTTACACGAATAGGGCGCACTGGCCGGGGCCTGGGTACAGACACTATCTCGTTATTTTTAAACGACAAATATTAGATACATAATATTTTACAGTTTCAAACTCTTCTGCAAGAATACAGTGTTACAATGTGACGACCACTTTTTGTAGGATCTGCCTGAGCTCGAGGAAGTAGACGTGGAGGACCCTTTGTTCATTCGCAGCTTAAAGTCATCTCGTGCGGGGGTAAGTGTTTTACCTTTTTTTACTAGCTTGCGGCCAAGAAGTCAATGAAGTTGTCAATCAAATTTTCGGCCTTTATTGCCATGAGTAACCGCTGAACGACCCGCCGCCATTTTTTCCTGGTTTGTCCCTAGTCCCAGGATCTACCCAGCGAAAGCAGTTTACATGGTGCTAGGAAGTTCCTCAAGCAAGGATCTTCCAGCTGGGAAGATCCTAGTGCTTGGGACAAGTACAACCCCTTTGCATGTAAACTGAATACAGAATACATATGGCGCTAGTATGATCCGCCTCTTTAGGATCTTCCTGGTGCTAGGATCTTCTTCCCTCCATGTAAACAGCCCCTACCATTTGACAATTTGAAGGACATGAAATAAGAGCGGTGAATTTTAAAACCGCATGAATTAAGCTCCTTATTGACTTGTGTTTCAACTGTTAGGGAAAACCGCTGATCGAGGAACTAGATGATGATACAGAGAAAACAAAAAGACCACTTATTCAGGAATGCAGAGTACCCAACATCTCTACCAGTGGCGAAGCGTTGATCGCGCATGAACGAAGACCAGTGATTGAAGAAATAAACGAAAGGTTTTGTCACTTTGGTCACTTAGCTGATAAACCTGTCAGGCCTCTTATTGAAGAACTTGGCGAAAAAGAAGACATTAAGAAGGTTGATTCAAAAGCTTCGATTATAGAGGTGTCACGTGACCCGTTAGAACAAGAGGATACCACTGCTGAACAAGAAGAGCTCGGGATCAACACCGCTGGTCAAGGAAGTGCTTGTTGGGAAACACTCCAAAAACTCGCAGAACAAGTGGGGTCAACAGTAGACCGAGAACCAATTAATATAGCAAAAGAGAAGAGGGATTTTGTCAAAAGAATGCAGCATACGAATCTGGGAGACTTGGACTGAAGAAATAATGCATTTTTTAACATTTGTCATGAAAACTCAGTACAGCTCCACAATATAGAAATCAACCTCGCGTTCGAAGCACAAATTTCACGTCTGTAAAAAAACTTTAGATTCGATTTCCAGCAGTTTTGCGATTTCATTTCATTCTGAATGGACTGCCAGTAGCGTCCTTGTATAACTGACGTCCGTTCTTCCTCGTGTAAAGAGGACGCGTCTTGTTATCCTCTAATCCACGACATCACATTACATTATACGATAGAACGTAGCCTGCGTGGCAGGCGTTAGAAGGGGAAGGGGGAATTTGGGCGCGCGAGAGCGCGTGGGGCACACGAGGGAAAAAGGAAAGGAACGAATTGTTAATTCCCCTCCCCTTCCCTTTTGAACGCCTGCCATGCAGGCTAGGAAGAACGCGGTTTTCGAACACTTCTTGAAATCAAGTACACCCGGACTGGCTATTGAAATGATAATCCTTAAATCTGTGTTATTGCAATGCTCTGTTTTTGTAAATCGTGCGATGGAAATGTTACTCCAAGGTGGAGTATTTTAAAAATAGAAAATGTTAAGTCATCCAACAGGAATATTCGACTCTCTCGACGAGTTTCTGCCTTCTCGTCCCTATAAATAGTTTGTTCGTGATGTTTTAGGTTGTTGTGTATATATTTACATAAGCTTTGACATTTGTAGAGAAGCAACAATTTGAACACCTTAGTTTTAATAAAAAGTTATTGTCAGGTAAATTATGGCGAATGGTAAACGAATGTTACTGTAATAACTTTAAAATAAGCTTCTGACAGCTTAGTGTCGGTTTTTCTTTTCGTCAACTTTTGTTCGGGGTTAGGCACAAAAATGGCCGAGGTTTATGATCTAGCCTTTCGTCAGATTCGCGATTTTCCTAAACAATATTTTTATATTTTAATTCATAAGATGAGTTGTCATGGCAAAAAGAAGTGGTCGGTGGCAGAGAGTTGCTATTCGGATTGTTCAAAAGAGAAAACTTGTCTCCCAGTTTGGAATTTCCTTATTTTTATGACCACTGTTTCCTTTTTTCAATTATTTTTGTGTTAATATTCCTGTATTAATTCTTCTGACAACCCCTGCTATTATCTTTTGATAGATTAAGAATTCGTATGCAAGTAATTGGGTGAAAATTTAAAAGTTGCATTTCCCTGCTTCTGCTGCTAATGTCATGTGCCTGGTCTGAAATGGTCAAACAAAGAATACAAGGTAAAAAACCTATTTTGCTAATTTGATAAGTTATTCTCGCGACAGGTGGAACAGCAGATAAATGTATCAGTTTTTCTCACGAAACGACACGTTCTGTATAAATAATAACAACTGATCCTCTGTTAAGTAGAAAGTCGAGTCGTCTGTTAGAGGATCGCGTTTTATTACAGGTAAATCGCCATCTACTTGAAGACTTTAAATAGTGTTCGCATTAAGGTTAGTCATCAACGACATTTCTTGCAAACTTTAAAGAAATCGCTTTGGGGGAAGGCTAGGTAGTTGTGACTAAAACGAGACGATAGCAGAAAGTAAGCTGTTTCTCATTTGTCCTTTATTCTGTGCTTAGTTGTTAAGCTAATAACCGAGTTATCTCTGACTTATTTGGCAAGTTTCAATCGGAAAATTTTTATAAAGGGTAAGAAAAAAATCACTAAGTGGATGTTGCCTTTGTCCGGTTCAAGCAAAGATGGACAAAAACTATGTTCAACGCATTTTTGCTAAATTGTATAATAACGTGCAAAATCTGACATTTCAAATCAAATGTACATGCAAGCGTACGAGCGTTTTGTAGTTCGGGAAGACTGAAAGACTGCTCGGTCCCTCTCTGTTAGATAAAAACATTTTTTAAGATTAAAACTCAGAACCGGTTTGCAAATAGGTTTTCAGCGTACGTTTGCCAATATCCCTGGCTACCTTTTTTAGTTTTTATTGGTATTTATAATCATTTTTTCAAATGTTACAATAATAGTGTAAGGATTTATGTATCCAACGTTTAATTTATTTCTGAAATCGACAAGGACAATTTGTTACGGAACCCCATACAGCGCAACCTATTAGCGATTATTGAATTCCGCCTTGTTCAGTTTTAGATCTGCATTCAGATCCGTATGCTGATCTACACTGTTAAAGCAAAAATGATCTCTCTCAAATTTCTTTTAAAATGCAATTTAAGGTAGAAGTTCAGATATTTGCAAACTTGAATATGCGCAGATGTAAATAAGTTCATCATCAACTTTTCTTTCTGATTTCTAAAGTTATTCAGTTTGGGATGATTATTTTTCATCCTGAAATGACCACGCGTAGCGCTATCTTTGGTTATCTTTTACTGTCTGCAGAATGTCGCCCAATATGTTTTAATTATTCATAAGTCATTCATGAGCGATGATTGAGAACAAGTCAATTTAGGAATGCAAAAAAGCCATTCACATTTACTGACCCATATACCGAATAGGAAAGTTATCTAAGGGTTTTATACAAGTTCCAAAATGACTACTAAAAAAACACACTAAATTTCAACAAAAGCGTAGCAAAATAGCTTTCATCGGTGGTGCGTCATACATTTCATGCGGCGATTTTCCTTATAACTACGAAACTAACCACGACCTTTTCCCACTGGGAAGCTTATTGAATTTTCCATAAGAAAATCACATAAACTGTATTGTTACTCTCTTAATAGAATGCTCCCCTAATAAAAAAAGAAACAGCAAGGGTAATTCATGGTTAATTTTGCTAATGGTTTGTCCAGAAGGTGAAGACATAATTAGTCAGTTTTTCTCTTCTTTTTTGAAAGTTTAACAAAACAAATTTGAAATCGCCGGTGATTTCTGGTGAGTGAAGTCATAGCTGGAATCGACCGATAGTGAAGTTGGTGGGATCATGTTGAAACATCTCCCTAAGCGTTTGTGGGTATGCGTGCCTTAGTGATCCTGTATAAGCTATATCAGTTGGGACCTGACGAGTTCAACCGTGCTAGGGCAGGTTTTGGGTGAAATTATACCAGAAGGATTGCAACGCCTTGCTCTCCAGGTTGGGGGCGGGGTGATGGGTTAATATTCCATCCCCATAAAAAGGTACCATAACTGAAACCAGACACACTTTTCAAGATAGCAGGCTGCGAAATGTAGAGGTCTGCATAACCGAGCGTGAAGAAGCAAGGATGCTTAAAAAAAAACTCTTATTGGAAGGCGTCTGAGTCTTGGTTTAAATGGTCAAAACCATAGACCTTCTCACGGTTTTGGAAACCATCTTATATTTAACAGTTATTCCACGAGTCGGCGCGTTGGATATCAGATGGTTGTAGCCAATGAGGCGCGTAGCGCCGAGTTGGTTACAATTATCTCATATCTAACAAGCGCGAGTGGAATAATTGTTTTATTAAAAACGCCCACAAAATATTGAGAATTCTTCCAGACTTTATTTGTAAAAACAACCGATTTTACCAGAATTTGGAGAGCATGGTATAATGGCTCATATACCATGATGGCTAAGCCAATCAGAGCTCTAGAATTGCATTATCCAATGGTTCAATTTTTAGTTTTTTTTCACCTTTGTTTAAAGGAATAATATCGAGTAGGCAAACGTGCGAAAAATAGCAGTTTTTGTATGAGAATCTAATGTCGAGTAATTTCCGTAAAACGGCTGTTCTGAAAGATACACAGCAAAGAAGTACACCAACAAGTTTTGGGGGCTGTACCTGTGCTTAAATTTCTCCAGTCGCTTGCTTTAAGTTTAAGTTTATTTATAAAAGAAGATACATAAAAACTGCCGTACA